TGTGTTATAGCTACTACATGTTTCTCCCACTTCCTTCCATTGACAGCAAACAAAAGCTTGTTGCTCACTGTTATCAGAAAATATTTGCTTTCCCAGATTTCTGCTCGCCCTTGTTTCAGAAGGGTTTTTAGTAGAGTAACAGCTCACTCCCAACAATAAGCAGCAGGGGGTGATTTGGTGATTTGAGACAGAGGTCCTTCGGAGCCCACCCAGTAAATCCAGCCTAGACAGGGCACAGCCCGGTCCTGTCCTTCCCAGCTGTGCAGCCTCCAGCACCTCCTCCATCCCCCTACAGGTCCTGTGGAGAAGATGATGTTCCAGCAGCATGGCTTGAAGAGACAGGGCCCCTTTTGCACCACTGACCTGGCTTCAAGTGGCTGCCCCTGTTTTCCAGCTACAAACCATCCCCAGAAGATACTGTGCCCACCCTGAGTATCCGCTGTACTCTAAATATGCTCCTTTGAGAACCTGCTCTTCTCACCACACACTGCACTTCCTTCCTGCCAGATCCCTTATCACCATGTTTCGTCCCCAAACGACACAGATGAAGCTTCCACTCTTGCTGCTCCTTTATTCAGTAACCAAAGGAAACTTTCTCACACCAGGCACTAAGCCTGTGGCACTTCTGCTAACGAGTTATGATGAATTAAACCCAGGTGTGACAAGAAAACAGGGCACCAAAGTCACAGTTCCCAAAAAAGCACTACTCAGTCACTCTTTATATTTAATTTAATCTTTTTTTAGGCAACCAGATTATCAAATGTCAGGTCCTAAACCTAAGAAGGGCACCAAAAGTCCAAGTATTATTCAGGATATGAAATGCTCAACTATGGCCACCCAAGCTGACACATTGCAGACACATGACTGAACCTGTACGTGACTGCCAAAAAGCTTTCATCCACAGGTGGGGTTCCCTGCAATGAAAGGATTACCCAGATAAAGACTTTGTGTCCCAAATTTGATGCAAGAGAAATGCACAACTGGCACCTAAAAGAGCTCAGCACCAGCCCTGCACCATCTCCTGATGAAAGCTCCCAGGAGGCCTTAACTCTGGCCTTCATTTTGGCATAAGACTCTGCTGAAGACAGATTTCAAAAATATGAACTTCAAAATAAGAAGCTCTTGGTCCAAGAACATGGGGCAGGGAGAGTGGTGCAGAAATGACCACTTTGGCAAGTTTCTGATGCTGAATGCTCCATAACCTCTTTCAAGCAAGGTCCCCTTACTGTGGCAAGTCCTGCCCAGCCCCAGAGCAGTGTGGGACTTGCAAGCACTCCACAGCACACAGCCCACTCTCCCCAGCCAGTGGCCCAGGATGTGGGCTTGGTATTTTGGGGAGCAGCAAGCTTTTTCTTTTTTCCAGACTCAAGGTTGGACATGTGGTCTTAACACCTGCAGTAGACTGGGTTGTTGTTTCTGACTGTGCCTCTGGTCATTAAAAAGGCACCACAGCATAAAAGGATTTGCTAGAAAGCAAAACAGCCTCAGCTCATTTAATTTATTAGCAATTAGCAAAAACCACTGATCACTGATCTGGGTTCTGAAAAAAAAATTATGTAAACAAGTAAACAACCACTTAAATACCTTCCTCATCCCTTCAGCCAGACACCTCTCCAGGTCCACCATCAGGCTCTTCCTGGAGAACTTTCCTGATGCCCTGAGATGGAGCAGCATATCACAGATGCAGCATAGCCAGACCACTCTTGCCTGTCCTTCCTTCAGCTTGCCTGTCCTTCCTTCAGCTTGCTTATCATGTATGTTTATTATTTACCACCAGCTTAATTGCTTTCCTCTCGCAATACCACCAGAGTCAAGCCTGGGGAAACACATAACTGCTGTTCCCTTTGGAGAGCCAGATTATTTCCATGGGTAGCTACTGAGCTACAGACAACATCAGCAACCCAACCTGAAAATGCTTCTTCTCGTCTATTTTTCATATCACCTCTCTTTGAGAAACTTTCTCACAGCACCTTTGATGTCCACAAAAACCCAGGATCAGCTCACTGGTCCCTCAAGATCTGTGCTTGCTTTTCAGTCTGTCAGCAAGAGGTGAGGAGAAGCCCAGCAGCTGCTGGATGATGAAGGACTTCAGGTTTCATGTGGGAATTTATTGGCTCTCTTATCTCAGAGGCAACATTTGCAGGTAAATATCAAGAGACTCCAGACAGTCAGCCACACCCCAAACCATAAAGACCTGAAATTTAAACTGCCATTTCTTACACCTGCCCTTCCATGGGATTCCTGCACTACAGCATCTCTATCTGCACATCATTCCTCTGTCCAAGATTTCCTCTTTCAGCTATTTAAATCTCAATCCTGATTTCAACTGCTTTTAAGAAGCAGGCAGTGCTAATCAGACAGCTGCTACAGCCGGAGGGAAAGCTGAATCCCAAGGCATCTCTCTGACCTGGGAAAGGTCCTTCACCAGGTACACTCAACTCTAACATTGCACCCCTCCTTAGGCACCAACATCCATTAGAACACAGATTTCCGTAGTTCTCCCGCCAATGGGCTGCTGCTCCCTTTTCTTCTCCCCCCATCTTTGTCTGAAAAAGCTTCTAGAGCTACAAAAACTCTAAGGAAAGTGTTAAAGAAATGTATTATTAGAAGAAGGTCACAAAACAACAACTTGAGAATAGCTGCAGCTAAAAATAACCAATCCCCACACCCCATCTTTAGAGAAAACATTATCAGATGTCACTTCCCAGTGGTAAAAACAATTTGATTTTTAATTAAGGTTGTATTTTGGACACTGGATTTTTTCTTTTTTTTTTTTTTTGCCAGAAACCACAGCAAGAGACCCCAGGAAAGTATCCCCAAAGATCCGACTTTTCTGCGCTACCTGATTGAAAGACTCTCAGAAACTGACACGTGCAAATTTGTATTTTCTTCTAACACCACCTAACTTTGGAAAATAACTTTCTAAAGAGAACAAAGTATTTTGGCCACTCATACAATGTTGCAGAGTATTTGTGCAATATGGATTTATTTTGAGATTTTATTACTTCAGAGTATCAAGGAGGTCAATATGGGAAGAAAAACAAGTGGAGCAGCAGTGCAGAGCAGGTATCAGCACAGGGCTGGAAACTGCTGCACATCTAACCCAAATTCTAGACAGCTCTGGAAAAATCTGCATTATGGATACACTGAATTAATAAGTCTACTGCTCAAAGTCTCCCAGATCTAAAGAGCAATAGCCATGATGTAGGTCAACCTTAGGGCTTACTTCAACAGTAGGATGAGCAGAATCAAGGAAGTCAGTTAAACTCTCTCAGCACAGACTTTTACACCTTTCCATTGATTAAATAAGCTCTGGTTTATTGATCACATAAAAAACCACCCAGGAGTTACTGTAGGCAGGTAAGGAAACACCTGTGACAATATTTTAACACACTGAGCACATACAAGGGGAACCTTAGCATACCATAGCATGCTTTCTTCTCCAAATACATAAATGAAACCCAGGAATAACTACTCCAGAAGGTCCACAAACCTTGTCCAGGTCACACTCACTACTTTTCAACCATTAACAAATATACACCTTTCCCCCACTCAGAAATATTCTAACCAATACTTTTTAAAGAAATCATTCACAAAATAATTTTGACAGTGCATTACTTTGGTGGCCAACTTCTGCTCTGCTGCCCTCCACCCAATGCCTCTTTCCCTCCACCATAAAACAAGCAGTACATCTCATATATGCCCATTCCTGCTGCTTTCTGCCTGTCCATGCAGGCTTTTTAAACTTCACTTCACCTGCTTCCCTGTTAAAGTTATTTGAAACTGGCCTGATGCAAAATTTGGTAGCATGAAAGAGATTGAGTGTGCAAGCCTCCTGCTTCCCTCAGAAGTCAAGGTGAATACCCACCAAAGAGCACTGCAAAGGACTAACCTGGAAGTGATGAGAAGGAAGACAGACAGACCACCACAGCTATATTCTACTGCTAAAACATTTGCTAAAGAGGCATCAGTGCGCTGGGGGTGCTGCCTGCCCTGTACCCAAAGGAGGGGGGAAGACTGAGGTTATTTTGAAGGACAGCCACTGAACACAACTACAGGAGTGTACTGGGAAAGGGGCAGGGCTCAGATTCACAGGCACCACCTCCCTCTGTCCACTCAGCCTGGAGGAACTTGGAAGACATGCCCTCATGATGTCATTAGTGGGTTGGTGTCTAAATAAAGGAAGCTTTTTATAGAATTTCTCACTGACAAACTTATTCCGGTAAACCCCGATGGCCAAGACGTCAAGCAAAGGGAAGGAAAAGGGAAAACAATACCCATAGCCTTGTTGGGGCCTGGACAGGTGGGTGGTGTCTCAGGAAAGAAACCCAAACAACCTAAACAAGTTTACTGCCTAATACCTGCTTGTTGGATAAAGAGCACAGGGAAGAGCAGGGCACAACGTAAGGGAGATGTGCTTTTACACCATCTGTCACAAGGAAACACAGCCTATTTTGGCATCAGGACAGGGGGTTAAAGGATGAAGATGAGGACAGAGGATTGTGACAGGAAAAAACTTTGCTTAAAGAGAGTAAATAAAACGTACTTCCATGTTCAGAGGGGCTTTCCACCTTCATATTAATCACGTGGCAATTACTGCGCTTCCTAAAAGCAAACTGGGGCTATCTGCATATTCAGAAGATTCTTGGCTGCAAATGCCTTAAGCTCAAATCACCAGCAAATACCATTTGCTGGAAGTTCCAAAAAACAAAACAAATGAAAAACGCACTAAACAAAAAAAACAAAACAAACAAACAAAAAAAAAATCTAACAAAAGGAAAGCAAAGTGTTCACGTATGCCCACGTGTCATACTCTTCTTCGGAATTCTTCATCACTTCCACAGCGCTACAGAGCGGTTCCCCTTCCTCCCTCTGCTCTGCCGTGCATCTTCAGCCGGGCATCCACACGGAGAGCAGTTTCAATAGCCTGGTGACTCATGCTGCAGTAATGTGGGTGGGAACTGCTCCCATGCCCAGCTCCTAAGGACACAACCTTTTATGGTATTTTTAGCGTGGAAGCTGTTGTGGTTTGTAGCACTTTGCCTTTTGTTTTTCAAGAAAAGAGCTCACAGTTCCCCCCCGGGGCTTCAAGGATGCAACAGTGCAACCCAGGCAGGTGATGAGCAAGCCAACCCTGTAACTTCCACACCCAGCCACGGTAAGGATGCTCAAGGATGTCACACCACAATCCGAAGGCTCCCCCATCCAGACAGCGGGTCCTTGGGTGGCTGCACCACCAGCAATCTCCGAAGAGTGGGGCATGTGTGTCATCTGTTCTGTGGACACTTTAACTACTGCAGGCCAACTTTGTAAGTAGTTGTTCCCCCCGTCCCGAGTCCTAACCACCCTGGGGCAATACACTAACAAGCTCATCCTGGCAAGCCATCAGACATTTCGTTTTTACCCTTGATGGCCTGCTGGCATACGAAAAGTTGCCAGGTCCCATCTGTCTTCCCTCAATTAACTTAAGACTACATCTCCCCAGAAAGTAGAAAATAAACTCTGTAGGGTTTCTACTCCACACGAATGAGGGGAAATGGGGCAAAAGGTTACTAGGAGAAAGCAGACAGGGATGTTACATTGAAACCAGGTTAAAAATACCAGCGCAGTGGCAGAAAAGCCACTCTCTGAACGCTAAGTTTGAGGACCACAGCACATGGGACTCAAACTTGCCAAGGTAAAAAAGCAGGCTCAGCTGTGCTCTTTAAAAGCTGAGGGTCACACATGAGATTAAGAGTATCCCAACATTACTCCATAGGGCTTGAAAACAGGACTCTGGCTGCAGACAAGCAGAAGATTGTTTTACAGGAGAGCCCTCTGCTTCCCCTTGCACCTGAAGCATTATCTGCCGTAGAAGAGAAAGGCATGAAAGTTTTCGCATCCCAAATCACACGTCCAAACAGCTATTGATTTTAGTCCTTTCAAAATTATTAAATTCAAGAGGAAATTAAATTATAATCTGCACATGCCTAAGAAGTCTAGGAGAAAAGCTAGCAGGGTGAACAAGAAAGCAGTAACCAAACCTCCTGACACAAGGCCACTGACATTAAATTATTTTATTTCTTCTGAAACTCCAGTGAGCTCAGAAGGAGTCAGCCTACCAGATCAGTGACAGACAACCCATACAGGCAGATTTCACCAAGTGGGAAGCACCAGTGAAGAGCTGCTCTGGAGTGACTTCTCAGGTATGAGAGACACAGTGAAGGGGAAGTCTGGGGGACATTTGTGTGGGCAAGCACTGCACAGCCCACAACATACCTTGGAGGTGAGCCAACAGCAACGGATGAAAAATCCTCCAGCACTAAAGCAAGTTTAAAGGTCTCTCAGTGCATTGCCCTGGGCACAGCAAGCCCCAGCAATTGCCAAACAAGATGCCCCACACCAGGGGAACACCAGGGCTCCCTAGACAGAGCAAGATGGAATCTTTTGCTCCTCAAGGAGATGAAATACATTTCCAAATTTAGGACGTCTTCCTGCTCTTAGATAACAGATCAAGATTACAGAATTAAAGTTTAAAAAAAAAAAAATCATGTGAAAGGCTTCATCCTGTTCAAAGGAATACAATGCTTTTCCTGTGATCTTGCCCTAAGTATCACAACATCACACTCAATTACTCTCCCATCTTACTCCTAAGTCCTACACAGCCAGTTTGGCTATATGAGAGCAAAATAAGCTCTGCCTTGCCTCATTTCTCATTAAACTGCTAACTATACATGGCAGTAGCTGTGTAAGAGGCAGGCCAAGTCACTTAATTTTTATTACCCTTCACTTGGACCAACACGATGAAATTGGAGTGAAAAATTCAAAAATAAAAAAAAAACAACAAAACAGGAAGGAAAAAAGGAATGGAACAGAATTATCAGCCTATACCTCCTACAGACAGAAAAGGAACATATCCAAGCCTGAACTGAGGTTTACATACCCCACACTAGACAGACCTCTCTGTACTAAGCCTTTAGTTATCAAAATCTACCATCTGAACTCCTGAGAAAGCCAGGAAAAGGAGGAAATGCCAGTTTGCCCCTACATGTTCAATTCTGCAGTTGCTGCAGGCAACCTGCTGCTTCTCTGATATTGGTGTGCTGGCAGACCCCAGGGACCCTACCCTGTGAGACCACCTGCCAGCCCCCACCTCCAGCTGTGAAGTACACCTGCATTTAACATACTGTTTGTACCTTGGCCTTCCAGCCAGCAGGTTCTCTGTAAACCTAAAAGCATAGGATGCTGATTCTTACAGAGCAACAACTTCCCTTAATGCAGAAGACAAGTTGTGCCAGCAGAGCTTGGACATGGATGCACTGGTGCTTGGATGCATGCAGACTTTGCAGCTGATGGTATCTTTGAAGGAACAAATCCAGTCTCTAAGTGCTTGCAGCCCTCTCTTCCTCCAGCGGGTGTCCCGGTGACCATCCTGCCATACACCTCCAGAGCTGGAATGCAGCCCCGCTTTGGAGCAGACCAGACTGTGGCTGGCTGGGACAGCTGTAGGAAGGGATGGATGCATTTCTCCTGCTCTCCATGGGTAAAGGGCTCCCTTTAACAGCAGGCTGCAGAGGATGTGAGGCAGATGTGTCTCTCCTGGGGAAGAAGCACAGACTTAAAGCATCGCTTAGTGGGAGATTGCAACCCTGGCTCCACTGAAATGAATGTGAATGCTGCTAATGAATTGACAATGCAACTCAGATTTCCACTGCTCTTCACACAAGGCCCATCTGAACTAACTTGTAGTGTTTGCTGAAAAAGCTGAGCTTCAGTTCCTTATGAGTTTTCCATGCTCATCTTCTCACTTCCCCCTCTCAAATTTGCAGATGGGTTTAAGCACAGCAGTTTCTGCTCTGAACTCTTCTGAAAGCAGTTTGCACCATCAGGGTTGAGTTTAATGTAATGACTACAGGAACCCAACCAGGAGAAAAAAAATAATTCAAGAAATTACATCCTTCACAGAATCTGCAGATGACACGTTCCTCTCAGCAGTACCTAAACTGTTTAAAGGACAGTAGGAGACTCCCAGGAGGAGATGCAGATATTGCCATCACAGCCAGGTAAAAAGAAGGAGCCAATGAATCATGACACAGGCGGCATTTAAAACAGACCACCCGCTGTTTTACGGGGGTGGGGGGGGGAGTGGTGTGAAACCCAACCAAAAGAAGCATCCCACTGTGTGCAGATTTCACAACCTATTACCTTCACCAGTCCTTTGCAAGGCCACAGCCTTCAGCTAAGGATCTGCTTAGCTAGAACCAGCCAGCAAATTATACAGTAACTGGGGCTTTAAAATCTTTGCAGGAAAATGAAATAAAATAAATAAAAATCAGCTGGGCAAGTTCTGTCTGACAACTCATTTTTTTCCCCATCCAGTACATTGCCATGTGGAGAGATGTGGCATTAATCAACCCATTTTGGCAGCACAAGACAAGCCAGGATGCATCACTGTTCCACTATATGGGGAACACCCTCATGTTGTTTCCTCATGGGGAAAGGCTCTGTTTACCCAGAGGGAGCCAATGCAATTCCTACACAAAGCCTGTAAGTACATTTAAAGCTCAAAAGTAATCTGAAACAGGTCCATTCTCCCCTCCAATTCCATAAATACAATCCAAATTGGGCCATCTCCTAACAATGAATGAATGATACTCACTTAAGCCTCCACTACACTGCTGACACAATCTAGGTCCTTTCATTCTCCTTGTACTGCAAGTACTAAAGATGCTTTTGTACATCCTCTGAAGTACTCCATTTAAAAAACCATGGTAACTAGGGCACTGCATTCAGCTGCTCTTGGAAAGAAAAGTCATTCCCCTTCCCTCTCAATAGGCTCTTAGGAGGCTTGGATAGCAAAATATTGCCTAATCCAAACTCAGCTCCACCAGGATGGCTGGAGTGGGATGCTGGGCATGGGGGTGAGCACAACTACCACTTGGTTCTGTGGTGTGACAAACACCAGTCATTGTGTTTGTGACAAACACAGTCAATGTCCCCATATTGCATGTGGGGGAAGAGAGCCATTACCTGTATCCTGCATTTAAACAGCATCCAAACAGCATACAAAAGTCCCATTTTAAGTAATCGAGTGTGACAGCACAACTGCAGCATTCAACAGGTAAAATATCATATTTTCTTTAAAAGCTACTGAGTGCTCCTAAACATTTCAGGTTCTTTTTAGGGGATGACCAGATTATTACATTTCAGTACTTTAGCATGACAAGAACTACAGGAACCAAGAAGCAAGTTTTTCTTTTATTTTTGCATGGCAGTAAAAATTTAAGGGGTTTTGGTGTTATTTTATTTCTTGCTCATTCCAAATGCCTCAGAACTGCGAACTTCCCTGCGCTGCAGCTTTTGAAGTTTGCCTGCTGGCACCAGAATCCCTTCCTTTCTGCAATGGAAACTCAGAGATGTGGGCACAGAGATCAGATGGAAAGAGCAAGGCAGCTCCCACTAAAAAGCCATTTACTAGAAAAAATATCACCATTCTAAAAAAGGGACATTTGTTTAAAATGGAAGACAAATTCGACATTTGTCTAATTATTTGTATTTTTAAAAAGAAAAACATTCCCTTAAAAAACCCCAAAAGACATGCACTAGCACCAGAAAGTCTAACAACTTTAACATGACCTAACTGTTTCACTATTCCTTATATACAATTTTAGCAGACTTTTTCCAAATCCCACTATGTACTGTTATGGAGCCACATTCCAAGATTTAGGGTATTAAATATAGAAGCCTTTAAGCACAACATCTGCAAAAGTACCTTAAAAATAAAAAAAAAAAACCAATCAAAAAACAAAAAGAACCACTTTCAAGTTCTGTCCTGTTATGGAGGCCATTCCCTAATTGATGCACAGAAGCACTTTGAGCCTCTCTGGAGGAAGCAGCATCGGATTCACGACAGCATTGCTGCAGAAGACCTATAACAAAATTCATATCTGTTTGAAAGAAATACAAACTTGGGGGAAAACAGGCAGTTTTAAAGAACACATTCTTAAATGGGGAAACTGAGGCATGTAATGATTAGGCAATTCCTCAAACAGCAAAAAAATGTACTTCTTCTGGCTAACACACTGTCATCTTTGCTAACACAGGCTGTCATGGCGAGAGACGTGAGAGGGTGAACTGAGGACAAGTGCAGCAGTGAATTTCTGACTCTGCTCCTCACACCACCCACCGTTACTTTTCAGGAGGAAAACAGGAGAAAACTTAAAAAGGAAAACAAGACAACAGTGTGGGAAAATGCTATCAACCAGATAGGTCAGCCTAGCTTGTGAGAGACATAGAGCCATAAAACCAGGTACAGCACACCTGGCTGCCTTGAGAGACATGCAGAGAATGAAGGCATTTGGAAGCTAAACCACTGTACCCTTATTTCCAAATATAAGGGAATAATATTTTAAAAAGTATTACAAGTATTACATACGAGTCAAAGCGTAAAAGCTAAAATAACAAGAGGCTTGCATGAGATGCTCCCATTGTCACATTTCAACATATGCAACAAATAAGTAGGCTTTTTATAGCCAACGTTTTGCATTGTTTTGTTGCTATTTTTCTTAAGATTCCAAGAGCATTCTCCTCTATATGAACCTCACAAGATGAGAGGGAAAAAAAGAGGAAGAGCTACCACTCAGGGTATTGCTCTGGCAGGCCTCTGCTCATTTAGGCTTTTGAAGGTGGAAATTTTTTATGGGAACTAATGAAGAGAATTAACTCTGGAGCCTGCTGCTCCCTGCCATCTCTCCTGGGATGAGTACAGCAGCTCCTGGCTGCACTCCTTTGTCTTCATTGAGGATGAGGCAACTGGGAAGTCTGCTTATAGTCAAGTTTATGAATGTTTCAGCAATTGCCTCCTCCTTCGAGTAGCTGCTCAAAAGCGTACCCAAGTCCGGGCCTTCTGCCACACCATCCGGCTGCTCTACCGTTAATGAGCTCCTCTGTTTGTAAACCCGTGCCTTGACAGACATTCTCTGCCACGTGAGCACAGAACGCTCACACAGCCACAGATGCTCCCTGCTCCCAACCTGCTGCAAGGTTTCTCCATCCCCTGCACCTTGGGGGACAGCAGCCCCTTGAATTCAGATTGACAAAGGCTGGCACTCTTCTGCAGGCTCTGCTCCAGCTGAAAGGCAGAGGGTCAGCAGTAAATTCTCCAACAGCATTTTACTCTGCTTTGCAAAGCCAGATTGTGCCAAGTTTCATCTCAGTGGAAAGGACACAGAGGCACACCAAGCCCCACAAAAGTTTAGCTCCCAGGACCACTGATGCCAGATAGACTGTGGCAAGTCACCTTGTTTAATGCGTAACATCTGCCATCTTTGATCCAGGCTCTGTTCCTCCCTTCGGGAAGGATATGGCCGTGGCACAACTCAACTTGAACAGCAGAATTTTGGTGTAGTGTTGCCACAAGGTTCTTCAGGAACACAAAAGACCAAAGAAAGCTACTTGCATTTGAAGCAAAAGACAGAGAATTCTGCAGTGCTCTATTGTAGCATAAGGGAAAACAGCAACCAAATGCTTTTTGGAGAGCAGATGATGGCTACCTGGTTCTGTTGCTGTTATTCCTAAAGAAACACCAGTCATGTTCTGGTCACAGGAGAAGAACAAATCCTGCATGCACAGTGAATACAAGTCTCGCAGACTGTGGGACCACCCAAAAAGTAGGAGGAGAGGAAATGTCCTGCCAAGCCATCAGCATCTGATCAGGCAGGCAGCTATGTCCTCTGCTCAGACTTAGCAATTAGTGTTGGGAACACCGCATGTGTGGAGACGCGAGTCTGGACTCCATGTTTTCAGAAAGCTGGTTTATTATATTATGATATATATTATATTAAAATATTACATTAAACCTATACTAAAATAATAGATAGAAAAGACTGATCAGAAGGCATGAAAGAACAAGAATAGAATGAGTAACAAAATCTTGTGACTCTTAGAGTCTGATGCAGCTGCATCTGTGATTGGCTCTTAATTAGAAACAACCAACATGCACCAATCACAGATGCACCTGTTGCATTCCACAGCAGCAGAGACAGTTATTGTTTACATTTCTTTCCTGAGGCTCCTCAGCTCCTCAGGACGGAAAAATCCTAGCAACAGATTTTTCATAAAATATCATGGCTACAAATTAGTGCTTGGGAGCCCTGGCCATAGACAAAGGCTGTTCTCAATCTGACACAGGAGCAGGCACCAGAAGATGAGAAGACAGTTTCAAGGAAATTCCATTGGAAAGAGAAACCAAGACACACAAAACAGTTTCAGCAGAACTTACCATACAGTTTTTACTCTATTGTTGTTGATGCATCTCCAGTCCTCTAATGTGGACCAGCACAGAAAAAACACAAGGCTTAGCAGAGAAGTAGAAATCTGTAGGCTCAACTTCTGGGCTGCTCCCTTCCTCCACCTCACCTGATGCAAGAGCTGGCACAGCTTTCCCATTGTCCCCGAAGTCCATACCAAGCAATATGCACAACACAGAAATCCATAGACATTCAAATATAAATCTTTGCTGAGGGGAGATGAGAAAAACCTACAGACAAAACAGAAGTTAAGCTGCTGTTAAGTGTACTATCTATTGTGGAACATGATGATCTATTTGCTGGATGCACCATTATTTCCATCAAGCCATCTCAAGTAGTAGTGCTCTTGTACAGGAACATGTGAGTTGGGCTTTGGATGTGTTGGATTTTTCTATGTGCACGGACATCAGCTCTGGAAAATTTTAGGAAATGGGGCTGGTTATTTTCTTATCACAGCATTTGGAAAACTGAAATGAGTTAATTTGTGGCTTTCAGTACCTTATACTAAGTGAATAAATGGAGAGAGCAGCCAACTTCTGTCTTCATCTAGATGAATTGCTGAGATCATGTCGTTAGCTAACATCACTCTCACTTCATTTTTGGCTGGAGAGGCAGACATTGCAAAGGGGTGTTCAGTTACAGAATGGCAACACTGATCAATTGCCTAAAGTTTTAGCAAGAAAATAAATGCAAGATGTGCAACAAAAATGCCTGCTGAGTAATAGACATGGGGTCATGTGGGCATGTTTCTAAATTCCTTCTCTTCAGTATGGTCAACAACTCTTCCAGCTAGAAGCACAGAATGCTTTTGCAACTAAGTCTGACATTACTCCATTTTCCCTTCAATTAGAGGTCAGTTCTAATCCCCTTCAAAGCATCCACAAAACATCCGCCTGAATTCAGACTTCAGAGCAGCACAGCCAAAGCAGACAGTGGATCATCACGAAATATTAAGCTGTGGGTACCTCAAAAAAAGGTACCTATGTACTCAGGCAAGAAAGAAAACAACCTGCAGGACCCACTGGTGTAATACAAACCACGTTAGGAGCAAAGATCAACTATTCACAGTGAAAGATCATGAGACAGCAGATAAAAAAAAGTTAACCAGAAGGAGGAAATACTTCTTCCAAGTGACCCAGAATTGTGTTGTGGCATGCTCTGCTACTCAGAGCGAGTTACAGAAAGAGTCT